CGCTCTCAGCGATAAGGTCGCCCATTGTTGTCTCCTATAGACACGAACAGTGTCATGGACATAACAGAGTATACTGTATCGTCCTTGAAGTGAACAAAAGATGGTCTTTTTATAATATTTATATACATTTAATGCTTATTCCAATAAAAGAGAGATGGACTACATATCCATCTCTTTTCCCCCTATAGAATTAATATATCATTAGTAATCAATAAATTCAAGGAAAAGACAAGCATATTTGTCCAGAGCGTGCGTGCAGAGTGAGCCATGGGCACGTGTCACCGTATGGCATTACGCTAATACGAGCCGAGTCTTATTGGGCAACGTACAGACGTCGACACAACTGTTTTATATAGAAAATACACTTGACAAAAGACAAAAAAAAATACAGTAATATTACAGTAATAAATTTTACATTTTATTTATAAAATTTACATATTTAAAAAAAAATTAATTTACTTTTTAAATTACATAGATAGAGCATCGAGTTTCAAAAATGGGTCAACTATTTGTCAGCTAATTGTCAAATTAGCCGACTCGTTTTTTTTATCAGTGTTCTATATACTTACGCACACAATGTATCTTGACGTATCTATATTTAATTGTTTAATAAATAAAATGAGTGTATACGCATTAAAAAGATGCAGAATTTATAAAATAAAATAAATGTAGAAGTTATAAAGCTAACAATCCTTATCCCCCCCTCTGCCGGGAGTTTTTTTTTATGGGTGATAATGGTATGGTAACCCCGCCTGCGCTAACGGGATACGCTGGCGGAGCACCAGTGAAGGGTGATCGATGAGGATGAAAACAGGCCAGTTAGCCCATCATGATGAATTCATCAGGAATTAACCATGATAGTTTCCAGGGGGAATCACGAGGAGGTCGACCTGGTTGGGTATATTGCTAGCAATGGGATTTTTAGTCTCCATTACTAACAATCCCTTTCACCCTCTGCCGGGAGTTAGTTTGCTATCTCCTCTCATTAAGAGGGGAGATGTGAATTTTGTTAAAAGAAAAAATTATAATATAACTCAAATATGTAAGATTAAGCTTTCGTGCTTGACTGTAGGTCTGTCTATATTACAAATAACTCGGCGGTCGCCACCCCAACTTAACTGAGTACTGCACAGAGTAATGTACGGTAACATAGCAGGATTTATCAATGTATTTATTTATTTTTAGAAAAACACAGCTGAATGACAATCAAATACATAGTCAAGTTATATGTATGTAGAGCCATTAATCGTCTTCACATTTGCGTTATTACACAATATATATAAATATACCTAGCCTTTATTTTTCTTTCCTTTCTCAATGTCCTCTACCCAAAGGTTGTGTGGAAGAGATTGCTTAGCGATAAGGCCGCCTTTTATATCATTTCTTATTACAGTTAAATGTGTTTACTATTTTATAAATGGTGCAATAAAGTGTACATAAATAAATAAATATACAAAGTTATAAATTTTAATAAGACATCTTTTAGTTTTATTTATAATAACAAAATAAAAACAATATATATATTTTTTTATACAACTTAGAATGGCAAACAAGCTGACGGCCCACCTTATGGAAAGTGGTAACCGTCGCCTATAGACATGAGCAGTACCATGCACATAACAGAGTATACTGTTTCGCCTATGATACCCCCCAATGCGTTGCCATTCCTAAGGGCTCAGATGTTATTCCTCTGTACCCAGTAAATAGTCGCCACGCTTGGCAGGCGGGTTGGCAACCGCAGTTAGACTTAGGGGGGAAAGGGATTGTTAGTAATGGAGACTGAGAATCCCATTGCTAGCAATATACCCAACCAGATCGACCTCCTCGCGGTTCCCCCTGGAAACTATCATGGTTAATTCCTGATGAATTCATCATGATGTGCTAACTGGCCTGTTTTCATTCTCATCTATCACCCTTCACTGGTGTTCCGCCAGCGTATCCCGTTAGCGCAGGCGGGGTTACCATTCCATTTTCAGCCATAAAAAAAAAGAAAAAAAAACCGCAGTTGGACTTCGGTGATGTTTTAAAAGAAACGCTGCTACCCAGTCTTAGTCGCCTGTTATGAAACCAACGGGAAAGGAATGGGTGGCTCATTCTACGCCGGGACCATGATAATATTATATTATTAACACTAGCCGTTGCCCGCGACTTCGTCCGCGTTACCGTCGTATTTCGTAAAATAAGTAGCCTATGTCCTTCCTCACGGTTCGGTGGTTTTGATGTAACACACACATTTCCCTTCACTACTCTGCTCCTATTGATCGTAGCGTGATGAAAAGTATACTATAACCTGCCCAGGAGTATGAACAATAATTGTACCAGGTTTCGTTAACATCCGTCGAGTAGTTTTTGTTTCTATAACGAACATACAGACGGGCAGACAAAAATTTTACTGATTGATTTTTTGGCATCAGTATCGATCACTAATCACCCGCTGATAGTTATTTTGGAAATATATTTCACGTACAGAATTGACCTCTCTACAGATTTATTATAAGTATAGATAACAGGACACAATCTTTAGAACAATTTTTAAAATGTCTCTTAACTCAATCTAATCTGTATTCCCAAGAATAAACGCCCACATAAGCGACCCCATGGAAATTGGAAAATGCCCCTATTCATCAAAATATTGAAATTGTCTATGGGTTTTCACACGTATTATATATACACCCGCCTTTATTGCGGTTCGGTGTCTATGGTTTTCTGTTATCTGTGGTGGAAAAATTATTCGACTAGAAAATATAGTTTCGAATTTCGAAGGGGGATAGCTTTATCGCGGCACGCTTATGCCCACGGGTTCACCCGTAAATATGGTAAATATATTATTTAATAATGTTTTCGCCCACTACTCCGCACGTGTGGATTTCATTGGATTTCCTACCATGAAATGTTTTCCGAAATTTCGGATCCGAACGAAACAAAAATTTGATGCTAGAATTACATGATACGTACCGTTTAAAAATATTAAAAATGCTATAATATCGTTCCTTTAAACTTTTATTAGGTAAGATTTACGACAAACGAAATGTTAGGCTCCATTTACTGGGTCGATTTCGGTACGAACAAAAATACGAAATTGAGCGCGAAAATTCGGAATTTCATTTCATGGTAGACCCCCATGGATGTAGAAAAACCAACGAAATAAACTATTTCTTCAGTAGTTTTTAAGTGAACAAGTAATAAACCTGCATCCATACATCCATTCATACATCCATCCATCGTTACAAACTTTCGCATTTCTAATTTTATAATAGTATTACAATATGTTTTTCGCATGCAATAAATTATAATGATGGCGGACATCTTGCTGTGCGGATTGCATAACAAAATGGCGGCCCCTTCAAGAACTAAAGGTTAAATCAATTAATATAATGATTTATCTTATGTTACGTCGTTGATTTGTTTCAAAATATTATTTGTAATTCATTTGTAGACATATCTAAGTGTTGTATGTCAATCTTATTAAAATGGGGGGAAAGGGATTGTTAGTAATGGAGACTGAGAATCCCATTGCTAGCAGTATACCCAACCAGGTCGACCTCCTCGCGGTTCTCCCTGGAAACCATCATGGTTAATTCCTGATGAATTCATCATGATGGGCTAACTGGCCTGTTTTCATCCTCATCGATCACCCTTCACTGGTGCTCCGCCAGCGTATCCCGTTAGCGCGGGCGGGGTTACCATACCATTTTCACCCATCAAAAAAAAAAAATTGTTGTATGATAGATGTATGAGTGATTATTAGCGTAACGGCTCACTTTCTGATGGTAACAGGTTCTTTTCCGGGACAATATGTATGTATATATATATATATATATATATATATATATATATATATATATATATATATATATATATATATATATATATATATATATATATATATATATATATATATATATATATATATATATATATATATATATACTCATGTGTTTCTTTGTATTAGTGTTTTTTATACCATTGAGGTGGCAAACAAGCACACGGCCCACCTGATGGTAAGCGGTTACCGTAGCCTATGAACGCCTGCAATACCAGGGGTATTACGCGCGCGTTGCCGACTCTGAAGAAGCCTTATTATATCTGTTACCATATGTCATAAACATATCAGCCGTTACACTGTTCACTGCTGGACATGAGCCTTTCCCAAAAGGGGAGTTTTGTCAGTAGTTGCCACGCTTGGCAACTGGAGTGGCAACTGCAGTCAGACTTTGATAACATTTTAAGAGAACCTCTTGGAAAAATCTCGGCAGGGAATTCATTAGTGTGAGTGTTGGTGGGCTATGCGCGTTGCGCAGGCTACAAACGCGCGCAAACGCGCATGCGCTGGATGCTGCGCGGTCTGCGCTACCGTAACACGATGGAGGGGCACGAGTGAAGGATGAAATGTGAGGACGAAAACAATTGGCCTATCGTATAGCATTCGTCAATAATTAACCACAATAATTTCCAGGGAAGACAACGATGGGACCGACCTGATGGGTATACCTGTTTCTAGATATGTGACCACAATACGCTGGTGGTGTTTCTGGTCTAACGACCAATTCAACAAGAATTAATCAAGATGGTTTCCAAGAAAACCATGTGAAGGTCGACTTGCTAGATTTTTTTTTACACAACTTAGAATGGCAAACAAACTGACGGCCCACCTCATGGAAAGCCGTAACCGTCGCCTATAGACATGAGCAGTACCGTGGACATAACAGAGTATACTGTTTCGCCCATGATACCCCCCATGCCTTGCTGAGGACTCAGGTGTTATTCCTCTGTACCCTGCAAATTCACTGCCATAACCCACCCTTCAAACCGAAACACAGCCATGCAAACACAACTGTTTCACGGTTGAAACACGAATAGGACAGAGGTGGTCAAGCAAACGACTTTTGTACAATAGCTTTCATATCTTTAATAAAGCTTTCAGATCTCCATTACTAACAATGCGTTATTAGATAAAATGGCGGAGAGAAATAGTTTGTGTCTTAAAGTAATATACTCACAGTCGATGCGAGTCGGCTGGCAGCCTCTTGGGCACGTGCAGGAGGCTCCGGTGGGCGCAGTCGGCCGCGGCGGCGCGGCACGAGCACGCCCACGGGCACGTGCCGCGGGCCATGCGCGCCGCGCACGCCACCACCGCGCACCATAGCAGCGCGCGCCCGACAGCGCGCATCCTCACCGCTGGCTGCTGCGCGGTTACGTCATCTTGGCTGGAATAGACAGAAATGATAAAACATTTCATACTATAAGAAAGAAAGAAAGAAAGAAAACATTTGTTGACAACAACAAAAAGTTACATAAATTATGAATTAAAAAAAAAAACTTTACATTTATTATTACCAACGTGGTATAAAACAAATAATTTCCTATCTGTTCTCATTTAACCAAAGGTTGTCTGTAAGAGATCGCCCTAGCGATAACACCGCCTTTTGTACCTTTATGCGTATATTTCAATCTGTATTTATGTTACTGTATTTCACTTGAATTGTTTATATGTCATTGTTTATTTTTGTTTTTTTTTTTTTTTTGGTGTAATTCTTTAATAAAGACAACCAGTGCTCACAAATAATAATAAAGAGTTAAATAAATAAATTTATGTCTTTTACTGAACTAAGCGTTATCTTGCCTAAGTCCATATCACTGGTTATTTCTTTAGAATTATTTTGTTTAATTCCGCCACCATTAGCAAGCGTGTAACTGCCAACACATGAAGATTGATTGTTAATATTATCAATAGATGTCCTATAACCTTTTTTATATTAGCCACTAATCTCTGACCGCTATTCAGTCCACGCACGTTTTGCGATATTTGTAGACCAAGTATAATGGTGGCGGAATTAAACGAAATAATTTTAATCGTACAATAAGAAATAATTTAAGATTGTGTTCCAAAAACTGAATTGCTGAACCGATTTCGATAAAATTCCTACGAGACCAATCTGTAACTGTATTCTTTCGGATAAAAAAAAATCCAAATCGGTTTAAAACTGACGGAATTATGAGGTAGCTAACATAAAAAAAGGATACATTCGAATTGAGAACCTCCATTTTTCGTAGTCGTTAAAACATGAATCCAACACATTAAGCATTTGCCTCCAAACAATAAAAAAAAAAGCAATAAACCACAAATAAATAAAGTGTCATCTTTAAAAATCATTGATACAAAACGACTTTAAAATAAGACGTGTCCGAACCACCGGCGACCTGATGATCGTAAAGTAATCAATTGCCACATCATTGGAGTCAATAGGGTCGGTTGGTCGGAAGCACGGCGAGGGCAGTGGCCGGTGGTAATTGGAGGAGAGACTGCGAACATACGGTTAGAGGAATAAATTTGTAAAGACATCTTTTTATGCAACTTAGAATGGCAAACTGACGGCCCATCTGATGGAAAGTGGTAACCGTCGCCTACAGACGTGAGCAGTACTATGCACATAACAGAGTATACTGTTTCGCCCATGATACCACCCATGCGTTGCCATTCCTGAGGACTCAGGTGTTATTCCTCTGTACCCAGTAAATTCACGCCATATCCCACCCTTCAAACCGAAACACAGCCATGTAAACACAACTGCTTCACGGTTGAAACACGAATGAGACAGAGGTGCACAAACAATCGACTTTTGTACAAAGTCTCCCTCTGGAGCTGACGGCCCACCTGATGGAAAGTGGTAACCGTTGCCTATAGACATGAGCTGTACCATGGACAAGACAGAATGCGTCGTTATATTCGTGGTAATAATTACGCGTGGGGGAAAGGGATTGTTAGTAATGGGATTTAGAAGCCCCATTGCTAGCAATATACTCTGTCAGGTCAACCCTGGAAACCATCGTAGTTGATTTATTAAATTCATCACGATAGGCCAACTGACCTGCTTTCATCCTCACCTATCATCCCTCACTGGTACTCCGCCAGCGTATACCGATAGCGCAGACGGGGTTACCATTCTATTATTGCCAATTAAAAAAAACTGTCATACATCGCCATTCCTGAGGACTCAGGTGTTATTCCTTTGTACCCTGTAAATTCACTGCCATGGGGTATGGCAGTGAATTTACAGGCAGTGAATTTACCCTTTAAACCTAAACACAGCCAAGCAAACATAGACTCTTTAATTTTTTTTTATTTTAAGGACATTTTACCTTCTTCAGGTACATCAGCCCTATAGTAACCTGATCTGACCTTCTAGACAAGTGGCACGCGAATTCCCTGTGGGATGCGCTAAAATACCGGCGCGTCCCCCCGAGTGGTAAGGTGAGCACGCCAGCCACCCTATCTTGAGAGAGGAGACTTGCCTTTACCATCAGGAGGCGGGTCGCTGCCGTCGGAGATGTGGTGAGTGCGAAAGCGAACCCAAATCTCCGACGTATGGCACCTCGAGGGTATATCGTCTGGTTTTTGGTGCGTACACCCCTGCCTTACGGGAGGATTTCCACAGTACCCATTCATCTCCCACAAGGTGTAAAGTGGCAAGCGGATTCGTCGATGGAATTGACAACGCTAGCGAGTCCGTGAGTTGGAATGAGACATACGGTTTGCTATCTCTATTTCCCGGACTCGCTAGCGATGTCGATTTCATTATCGAATTCGCTTGCCACTTGTGTAGAGGGCCAGATTTCTTATATACAGTTTTATCCACTTTCCCCACTCACAGAAAGAAAGCAATGGTATTAAGGTGCAATCTAGGTATTAATAAACTCTTTAGTGAAATTTGAAAATAGAAAAAGAAAAATATGATTGCCTAGTAACCTTAACATTTGTTGGTGTTTTAAAATTTACTTTTGTCTAAAATTTACTTTACAAATTCAATAATATTTTAATACAATAACGCGATACAGTGTTTTATATATTTAGTGCGTGTTGTGTTATAAATAAACTGTCAGTTACTTGAACTATAAAAGAGAGACGCTGGTCACATTTCCATGTATATATACTTCTAACAAGCTACGTATTTAACTGCTACTCTAACAAATGGGTATTGTAATAACTAAGGACATCTATTGCATTCAGTGACTAACCTTGCTTGCAGAATGATTCTATTCATCTTGCAGTTGAAGGACAGAAGGGAACTAATGAACAGCGATCGATAATAACATTTAAATACCATTTAATATTTTACATTAGATAGGATTCGTAAAGTCAGAAAGAGAGATGTCAGGTAAACTAAAACTCAAACGTCACAATGTTTCTAAATTGTGCAAACGAGAAAGAGTCTTAATATTGTATTGACGTAAAAATTGTTGGCGCGGTCAAAAGGAGGTAGCGGAATGAGTCGCTACAGGTATCGATAATTTACAGATACGTTCAAAAATCTCTGATTTGATTTCAGCTAGTATACTCGTAGATTGTATGGTATATGACCAACACTTAATATATTTAGGTAAAAATGGCGCTAGAATTCTTCTTTCGAAACATCGAGTTTAAACGACACTCTTATACTATTTTTTTTTATGGATGAAAATGGTATGGTAACTCCGCCTGCGCTAACGGGATACGCTGGCGGAGCACCAGTGAAGGGTGATAGATGGAAATGAAAACAGGCCAGTTAGCCCGTCATGATGAATTCATCAGGAATCAACCATGATAGTTTCCAGGGAGAACCGCGAGGAGGTCGACATGGTTGGGTATATTGCTAGCAATGGGATTCTCAGTCTCCATTACTAACAATCCCGTTCCCCCCAAATATGTTACATATATTACTTTAAAGAGATTTGACTGAAATTTGGTAGATAGTCTGTCCCATTCGTGTTTCTACCGTAAAGCAGTTGTGTTTGCATGGCTATGTTTCAATTTGAAGGGTGGGATATGGCGTGAATTTACAGGGTACAGAGGAATAAAACCTGAGTCCTCAGGAATAGCAACGCAAGGGCGGTATCATGGGCGAAACAGTATACTCTGTTATGTCCATTGTACTGCTCATGTTTATAGGCGACGGTTACCACTTTCTATCAGGTGGGCCGTCAGCTTGTTTGCCTTTGTAAGTTGCATAAAAAAATATATAGGTGAGTAGCCATCTTAAAAAAAAAAACAATAAATACTACAAATATAAAAATATACATAGAGTATTACCATAAACGAATCTAAACATGGACGGGGCATGTAAATTTGTTCCTGCCCTCAAGTACCCTCGGCTGACGGAAGCGAACGGTTATGGAGGCATACAATTTGCGCCCATTGTGCCGAGGATACGGGAAAAATATAAGAAAATGAATACCAAAACGAAGTTATCTCAGTTGAATGAAACAGAAAAGAAACGAACGGAAAGCTTGCGTCTATATACTCGTATATACCCAATTACGCTTTAGACGTAATATTTTTTGAGCGACTTTGAATGTTAAGTAAAAAAAAAAATTGCCCCGTAAGGTTTTAAGAAAGGCTGTTTGCGTTTCTTTCCTTAGTGCACTTGCGGAGTTAGCGCGGGAATTCTTTATTTTTTTTTCCAATAGTGACGTGACAATTTTGAAATTTTAAAAAGCGAATAGAATAACAGAATAATGAATAGACATTAATGCAAAAGGGAGAATTTGTACAAAAATCGTTTGCTCGGATACGTGTGTACCCGCATGGCTGTGTTTCTGGTTTTAAGAGTGGGAACGACATCATCATGTCAGCTTTTAATCGCCCACTGCTGAATGAAAGCCTCCCCCTTGAGGGGTTTTGCTTGAAGTTGCCACGCTTGGCAGGCGGGTTGCCAATCCGCCTCAGGGAGAGCGAGGAATGGGCAGCAGCGTCCCTCTTAAGACATCTCTAAAATCCAAACTGTGGTTGCCAACCCGTCTGCCAAGCGTGGCAACTACAGGCACAACTCCCCTTATGAGGAAAGCTTGTGCCCAACAATGGACAGTTTACGGCTGAAATAATAAAAAAAAAAGTGTAAAATAAATAAAAGTCGCTTAAAAAATATATCAATATTTGAACCCGCGACCCCATTAATACACTGCAGACCAATCGTTCCGATACCTTATCATTATAAAAAAAAAATATGGTAATAAATATTCTTTCAACTTTAATGGCTGCCGGCCCCCATATTACAGGTCGTAATGATAAAATCCAGTTGCATACTAAGTGCACTCGAGATAAACGCCACAGAATCGAACCTGCACTCACCTTATCTCTGAAAGCTACTCCGAACTTAAATAGTTTATTAAATTTATTAATAACCCACTTTCGCGTACTTTCAGAGCGTTCTGCATGGGTACTCCTGTCCCA